ATCCATCTTGTTCCGGAAGACCCACTTTGTCCCAATGACATGTTGATGAGTAGGTCTGGGAACAAGTTTCCAGACGTCATTTCTGGAAAATTGGTTGAGTTCTTCTTGCATTGCATTGATCCAATCAGAATCAGCTAGAGCTTCTTCAATATTCTTTGGTTCCACTTGTGAGATGAAACAAGCAAGCATAGCTTCTAGATTCTGCTGAGCACTTCTTGTGCGAACGCCAGATTGAATATCTCCAATGACATGTTGGGGAGGATGATCCCTTAACCAACGAAGATTGTGTTGATTACGATTGACTAGTTGATCTAGTTCAGCTTCTGGTTGAAGAACAGAAGTTGTTGGTGTTTCCGTATGGATTGGCACTGGGTTGCCATTTCCGGAATTGTCGTCGTTTTAGTGATCCGGAATATTAGAAGGCTGGCCAAGATTTCCGGTAGGCTCAGCAATGTTTGAATCCGGATTTCTCTGTGAAGTCTTCAGTGGTAGACTTCTGAATGGAATGAATTCAGTAGGCTTAATTTTATCTCCTTCATTGACTTCTTCATCCTTGTCAGATAGATCCAGAATCTCATGATCATGCTTTGATGGCTTGTCAACCACATGTTTTTCATCAAAAATAACATGTATTGACTCTTCAGTGATCATGGTTCTTTTGTTGAAGACTCTGAATGCCTTGCTCACCATAGAGTATCCAAGGAAGATGGCTTCATCTGATTTCTCATCAAAAGTGTTCAGATGATTTTTCCCGTTGTTTAACACAAAGCACTTGCTCCCAAAAATATGGAAATATGATATATTAGGCTTTCTCCCGTTCCATAGTTCATAGGGAGTTTTGTTGTGCCTTTTGTAAATCATACTCCTATTTTGAGTATAGCAAGCCATGTTAACAGCTTCCGCCCAGAACCTCTTTGGTAAGGAAGCTTCTGCTAGCATTGTTCTCACTGCTTCCTTCAGGGTTCTGTTCCTTCTTTCCGCTACACCATTCTGTTGAGGCGTCCTTGCTGCGGATGTCTGATGAAGAATTCCGTTTTCTTCACAATAATGAATGATGATTTCATTTAGGAATTCTGTGCCTTTGTCAGATCTGATCTTCTGAATGGTCTGACTTGCTTGGTTTTGAATCAGCTTCATGCAGTTGGTGAGTTTCCCTTGAGTCTCCTTCTTGCTATTGAGGAAGATTGTCCACGTGTATCTTGACATACCACCAGGACATATTTCTTTCCACCACCAAGACATATTTCTTTCCACTTAGACTTATTGGTGTAATAGGGCCAAATAAGTCCATGTGGATAAGACTTATTATCCTTGTAGTTGAGGGTGCCGGTTTTGCCTTGAAATTAGATTTGACTTGCTTTCCTTTCTGGCACGCATCACAAATGCTTTCCTTCCTGAATACAGCTTTGGGAAGGCCTTCTACTAACCCTTCTTTGGATAGATTATTGAGAGTTTTGAAGTTGAGATGACTCAACCTCTTATGTCAAAGCCATAGAAGGTTAGTGTCACCTTTGCTGATTACACATGCTTCCTTGACATCGTTCCATATCACTTCATAGATGTTTCTGATTCTCTTCCCAGTGAGAATGACTTCATTTGTGGAGATGTTTTTGAGAGATGCCATGTCCTTGCAGAATTCCAAGGAGTAACCTTTATCACAAAACTGACTTATGCTAAGAAGGTTGTAATTGAGTCCTTCAACATAAGATATAGCTTAGATGGTTAGTCCCTTGTACACCAGATTTCCTAGCCCTTTAGTAAGGCCAAAATCGTTGCTTCCTCCAAAAGTAACTCTTGGACCATCATAGGGAATTAGATTGCTCAAAAGGCTCGCATCACCCGTCATGTGTCTTGAGCAGCCACTGTCTAAGTACCAGACACCTAGGTACTTAGCGTCTTCCTGCATTAGGAGGAGGAAGATTTTGGTACCCATTTCAGTTTGGGTCCAGAATGGTTAATGGTGTGTGTCCCTACATCAAGTTTGAAGTTGCAGGGAATTTTCCTTGCAGCTCTAAACTTGTTGGGATTGTAATCATAGTTGTAGGCATAAAACTTCCTACGTGTAGGAGGTGCAATTTCCTGTTTCCTCCTAGCAAACCTAGGTTGATAAGACCTATAGTTTTGTCTAGGTTGTGCATAGTGTGACCTGTGTTGGTTATAAGCATACTTAGGTGGCACAAATAGTTTCTGAGGTGGAGGATGACTATATCTTGGCATAGTTCTCCACTCAGAATTTCTCGGAAAACTCCTATCTACCCCATAATGAGTATAGCCTCGTGTATATTGGGGGTTAGAAGGTTTTCTTCTGAAATTGTTTCCTTTTTGAGGTCTGTCCAGCTTCCTATAGTTCTTAGGAGGGACTACCTTTTTGGGAACTTCTGTTGGTTTCTCCTTTTCCTTCCCTTTCTGCTTATTTGGTTTGGCAGTAGGTTTAGGAGGGATAAAAGTTGTTTTCCCTTTCCTTTTGGAACTAGAGGGGTCAAACCCAAGTCCTTTGCGACCCTTTTGTTTGGTCATTTCAAGAAGCTTGTTCACTGCTTCTTAGGACTTAAGTATCCCTAGCTCTTTGTTAAGGGATTTCACCTTTTCAGAGAGAGATTCATTTTCAGTCTTGAGTTGAGTGATCTCATTCAGTTGACTTTTCTGACTTTCAGTCAACTTGAGATTCTCTTCACTCAATAGTTTGTTCTCTTCTGTTAAGGATGAGTGTTTGAGATTTATCTCCTCAAAATCTTTCATCATCTTTTTGAACTGGTCAAAAAGATTTTCAGAAGTTGGTATGCTATAAGAAGATGAGCAGGAGGTTTGTGAGGTTACCTCTTGATCAGCATCATCTTTGGCCATTAGGCAGAGAGTGTCATCTTCTGACATAGTCCACCTATCCTCATGGTTGGACTTCTCAACTCTGCGCTCCATGCAGACGAGGGCTTCTTCATCCGAGCTTGAGCTGGATGACTCGTCACTTTCAGCAGCAACCATTGCTTTCTTTTTCTTCTCGATCCTTTCTCTTTCTCCGTACTTCTCCACCTTTGGGTACGGGCATGCTGACTTCCAGTGGCCAGGCTTCCTGCAGTTATAGCATAAATAAGATTCAGGAGGGGAGTCACTTAC